CATGCGTCACGCACACACACACAGACAGGCTCACTACCCAGGTGTAAATAAAGAACAATTTGTTGCTGTCGGTACAGCAGGGCACTACCGCACCCCACGTACTTGCACTCACAGATACACACGAACGGGCAGGTGTCAATATAGAACAGTTAGCTGCCGGCGCAGCAGGGGACTACTGCAGACCACGCAGTCGCACACACAGATACACACGGACGGGCAGGTGTCAACAGTCAATACAGAACAGCTGCCGGCGCAGTAGACTACCACCGCACACCACGCACTCTCTCACACACACAACACACCACCCAACGAGCGAACAAGTGCACCACATGGCGGCGGCTGTTCCACCAGCCGACCCTACACCAGCACCACCAGCAGATGGTGGCCAGCAAACAGACGGAGGGATTGGTTCGTCGGAAGAAGAGGCAGTGAAGGTCGATGATGCATGTTCAATTAGTTTTTTTCACAACCCAGCATAATATAAGTGGATGTTGTTTGGCAGGTCTCCCTCGCATAGGAGAGAGCTCCCGGTCATCTGGCTAGGTTGGCGTGTCATGCTCGCGGATCATCACACAGCATGCTTGCGTTTGTTGTGGTTCGTTTTACCAGGAATAGATAGATAAAGGTTCACAAGGTGTTACGGTTTGGCTGATCTTCCTCGTCTGCACCCCTTTCTGCGCAGAAACGACCTCTCACTGCTACTACTACTACTGTTAATGCGTTCTCCTTGAAATCCAGGACAGACTATCAACTCTAACTAATAAGCCAGCTAAGTTAGTTGTTAGACAGACAACCACCGGCTAGTTGTTCGTAAACACCTAGGTGCGCACGATTCTGGAAGAGTAGTCATCTACAGCCAACTAGGTGCGCACTCTCCTGGAATAGTATATCAGCTACAGCCAACTAGGTGCGCACTCTCCTGAAAGAGTAGTCATCTACAGCCAACTAGGTGCGCACTCTCCTGAAAGAGTAGGTGTCTGCAGCCAACTAGGTGCGCACGCTCCTAAAAGAGTAGTCATCTACAGCCAACTAGGTGCGCACACTCCTGAAAGAGTAGGTGTCTACAGCCAACTAGGTGCGCACCCTCCTGAAAGAGTAGGTGTCTACAGCCAACTAGGTGCGCACCCTCCTGGAAGAGTAGGTGTCTGCAGTCAACTAGGTGCGCACCCTCCTGGAAGAGTAGGTGTCTACAGCCAACTAGGTGCCCACAAATCTGAAACAGTAGGTGTCTGCAGCCAACTAGGTGCGCACACTCCTGGAAGAGTAGTTGTCTGGCAAACAACTACCACCTAAAGTAGTTGTACAGGGTGTAGATATTTTATCGCATGTATATATCGAATGTTTCCTGACATAATACCAATTTCCTGATACCTCTAGAACAGGGTTTTGCTGTAGTGCGCTACACTTTTAACCATCCACGTTCGTACGCCCACCGGAATGCTGCCCTCGTCAGACGCAGCAAGGGGAGACAGAAAACGGACGACATCAGGATGTGGGGAAAAGTCTGGGGAATGCCGCTGTTGACATTGTTCGTGGTCATCTTCAGCGCGTCACTCGCCTCCGTTCGAGCTTGCGAGTGTGGTGGACCTACAATGGCTGAGCCGAGTAGCGACTCGATCAATGTGCTGGCATGCGGCGCGAGCGATGATGGTGTAGATGAATGCGCCGACGATGACGCCGTCTGCCTATGCGACTACGGCGTTACGATGGATGTGAACATTGACGGCATTCTCGCCGGTACCTCCACCACGCCCGTCGTAACGTGGTGGTGCACTCACAATGGCGGCGATGGCTACTGCACAAGTGAGGATATATTATCTCCAACAAACGACGCTGACCACCCAATGTAGATCGTCTTTGATGAATGAATGTGCAAGCTCTTTACAAGAATTGTTCGCTTTTATCGTGGAGTAGAACATTTCAATACTCTTCTAGTACCGTTCTTGCCACCCGTTACACATCCGTACTTTTGAGACTGGTACACTTTAAAAAACGTTCGACACGTACGGTATGAAGCCATTATGGTATACTGGGTAAAGGTCAAGTCGTGTGGAAAGCTACCTAGCACGTCAGCTGCAAGTTGTTCCACCGATTGAACCGAAGCCCTAATCTTCTGTAGGCTACATCTCTCGAGTCTCCACAACTTACCCCCTGAATCGGGCGTTTTTGTTTTTCGGCTCGTGATTTTGGAAGCCTCGCTTAAGCGAGTTGATGAGAGGGTGGACGACATCTCTCGCTTCTCGCGATGTTGCCTTTCCTCCCTTTCGGTGAAGCATATGTGTTGAGGTGTACCTTCCATCGTGGTCCCCGAAAAAAAAGGAAACGCCGTCGTTTCGAGGCCTTGAACGAAACCCCTTCGTCGAAAACGTGCCCCGAAGACGCACGACTGGTGGTTTGTGTCTTGAAATGAAAGCTGCTGAAGACGGCTGCATCACGTTCGCTCCTGTGTAAAGAAAGGCTGGGCTGTCCTATTCTCTGCGGTTTGCTAGCCTTGACAATACCCCAAGCACTGAACGCTTTATTGTTGCCGATACTTACACCAAACAAACCGTCAGGCAGTACTTGGGTGTGTCGCCGTCTTGTTTGTGTTTTTGCTCCCCAGTGCCCTCTTCATGAATAAACTCATATACCACATTTTAAGCAGTTGTTCGTTGTGGAGATTCACGAAAAAGACGGCGTGTGAGTGATTGATGTTCCATGAGTCGTTTCAAAGATAATGTGAAGGAATTGAAACACGCAAAGTACGGATCGGGGTCAATGACTGGGCATGATTCTGACGTTAAGACGAGAAGAGTTGTGTGCATACGTAAAAGGGTGAACATAATATTTCTGTGTCGTTGCATCTATTTCATACGACTCCCATGTGAACAACACCCGCTCTGCGAGGCACTCAAGCACAAACACGTCGTATTTCTTGTGCGCCATTTGCCGAGAACAGCCGGCCCTCCTGCCCCGGCCCCAGGTAACCCTAACCCCACGCAAAGGGTGGTATCGTCTAATGGACACCCTCACATCAAAAAGGGCACAGGCGTTTTCCCCATGTGGGAGCTAGATCCTCTTCCTCGAATAGTTTATTACAACAGTCGACAGGATAAGCGTGGAATCAAAGCTGTAAGCCCAACCCGTTCACCCTGTGTGCGATGTGGTTTGTTGTTTTCACTCGTGGGGGTTCACCAAGTTGCCCAATCAATTCCTTACGGTATTCATGCAAAGTTTGGACTTGCAGCGAGAAAGTTATCGACAAAAAGAGGAAAGTTATATTTAGTTGCAGGCTTAACGTGCACTCGTACACAAAAAGTCCTTTCAACACATACCGAGACCAAGGAAAATCAAGTGTATCCCATGGAGCGGTGTGTACACAAATATTTGACAGCGATCGCAGAATTGGGTCACGACACTAATATGTTGTGGCATTTTGCGGAGGCCCTAATCATGGGAATACCTGTTAATGTCTCCCTCTTTATCTTGTGACTGAAGAAAAAACGCAACTGTTTCGACTTATGCGCCCGCCATCATCGCCCACTTATATCGCGTGTCCGTTTTTGCTCCTTGTCTCCTCATATCTCGCGTGATACCCTCGGTTTTGTACGCGTACAGATTGCTCGGACTTAGTTCCATGCACTGGTGATGAAGAAATCTGTTGTCCGGAGACTGGGCTTTGCTCGGTTCCCGACCCCGTCACCGGCGCTTGCGGTGAGAACATTCGATGAACAAAATGGAAACCCTCCACATGAACAGGGTGCCAGGGTAGCCATGGCGATGGCTCGTCGTGGTTGAGAAGGGCAAACAATTTTTCGCCGATGCATGACGGTTTTTACCCGTATCGGGGTCCGCCTGTGCTCTTATCAACAGTTATTCCGTAGCCGTACCCGATTCGTGTCCCGCCTTCTTACGTTGTCACGCAAATCTAACAAGGACGCAAACTGAGTTGGGTAAAACCATGGTGGTCAGTGGCGGATGAACGTGCAGCGTGTAGCAGTGATTCAACGAGACTGATTCTCACCCTTTTTCTCGCGTACCCAGGTGATCCGCACATGACCGGCTTCCTTGGCCAAAAATTCGATTTCACTGGGCAGGACGGTGAATGGTACGCCGTCGTTTCGGATATGCCCGGTCTTGAGGTCAACATGCGCGTGACGTCCCCCATCCCTGCCGAGCCCGAGATCACCTACATCACCGGACTCGGTATCAAGACAATCGACACCGAGGGCTTGGACCACTCCATTGTCATCACGGTCACGGACCCCCACAGCCTGGACAGCGCCTGTCCCGTGGAAGGCTCGACTTGTCTGGCGGACGGCGCTCTTACTGTCGAACTCGATGGTGAAGTCGCTCTTTTGTCTCCTGGAGAGGTCGAGCTCGGCCCCAACGTGGCAATCTCTGCGGTCAACCTTCCGGGCGCTTGCAGGTGAATCTGAACCCCAAGTCGATCTGGTCATGAAGCCCGTCCCAACTCTATCGTGTATCTGTACCCGTCGACAATACTGTAAACACATTGTAGGCGAAAAAACCGGGCGAAGAGGAGCAGCTTGTCGTCGATGCCAAGAGGCAAGCGTCGTATAACCTCTTTGTCGATAATGTCGCGTTCGTGGATCCGTTCAGGTCTTTCGGGTTCGAGAAGTACTGGGAGCGCAAGAAAGCAGAGTACGCGGCCAGCGGCCGGAGGCTCAACAACCTCTCGCAAATGCAGGAGATGTCGGACTGGATCCTTGGTGACCCTACCGCGACTAACATGGCCGAGTGCACGGAGTACGTGTTGGGTGCGACGGTCAACGGCCAGGCTGGATTGCTCGAGCATGATTCGGAACACGCGTCATTCCAAATCTTGACTCCCAAGGGAAGCATCCGCCTCACCCATGGCCGCCTTCACCAGCTCGCCATGCGTGACCCGACGGACAGGTTCGATATCCCAGATCACCTCACCTGGCAGATGAACCTCGCCTTTGACAATATTGACCTGACTCTGGACGCTACGGGTATTCTCGGCGAGACGCAGCAGCACACTTATGACGCCAACGGCAACCCTATCATGGAGGGGATGGCTGCTATCCGTGGGTCGCAGGAAGACTGTGAGTACAATGGTCTCGGGGATGGTTTTGCGGCTCGGTTCCGGAACGATAGCGGAGTGTCACATGGCGATAAAAGTCGGAAGCACCACAGCACTGTGCTTGATAGTGACAGCAGTGTTGGCGTGTAATTCACACGAAATCTGCATGGATGCGGCGGGGGTCACGCGTCTTGGAAAGCTCGTGTTTCTTTCGCTCTGTCATACCTCTCTTGCTTAAACGTCGGTGACAAGGCTTATTGTAGGTGCTCGAAGGAACACCCACCCTATTTTTTCCAACTGCTTCCGCCTAATCACGTCACGCGGGCAACAAGAAGTTTCCCTGTTGCTTGTTTTCGATGAAACGCCCACACATTTTTTGACATGTCTTCCCCCAAATGTCTACATTCTACTGCATGTATCGAATCGAAACCCACGCAGACCTTGTCGAGGGCCCCCTGGACACCGTGTTCGTCGCAGCCCGCAACCACCCCTAGGTTACCGTCAACCTTACTCAACGGGACTGGGTTGCAACGAAGGCCCCCAACTATGTGAAAATTTGTCGGCATTGTTGTTTCTTCTCGGTTTCCTTGATTTGTAATTCGGAGTGTTGGATTTGTTGGTTCCTCGGCGTGGTTGTAAGCCGGTCGTGTGGAATTGGTTGGTTCACGTTTTTTATTTATCGGTCGATGCCATGCTTCGTGAAGAGAGAGCGGTTGGTCACCATTCAATGTGGCCTTTGTCAGCTTCCACACGCTGGCATTGTGCTTGGTGGTGGTGCTGTTCCGCTGGCGGGTCGTTCTAAGATGATAATCACAATCATTAAAGCCGTAGACTCCCAAGCGGAAAATATTAGCTGTAAATGTTGTGGAGGTTATTTCGAGGCGAACGGAATGGCGGTCGAGAGGTATCCTGCAGAACCGGTCGACGCCACCGCCCAATATGTGCGGTTGGCTCCGGAAGATACGCGCACGTTATTTATTTTGTACTGCTACGTAGATATAACAAGGTGAGGGCTTTGATTCTGCGCTGATCAAAAAGGGCAAGTATCCGGTGTGTTGCCTTTTACCCGCATGCATTTTGTTTGCGGTGATCAAGATGAAGGGCTCATTGATGCTGGGCTTCTTCAATTGTTTCCGCTTGTTGAAAAGGGAGACCGAGTGTTCCGTTTTTGCGGCTTGCTGCCGATAGCCCGGTGTTTTGTGGAATTTCCGCGGTACATTTTTCTTCCCGAGAAAGTTCCGATGCCTCTTGTGCTTGATCATTGATACATCCGCCCCTGTGACCGTGACACTTATTGGACTAGAACGGGAGTACTGTTCTACTCGCACTTGGTAGTGCTCCCACGCGTGCGTTCGTTTGAGGTGTCTCGTCAGACCACGTTTCAACCCTTGATATCGGAGAGTAGGTCGAGTTGCCGCTCGGGTGTGTGGATTGTGAGGGCCACCCCCAGGAAAATTGTGCTCCCCATTGGTAGGAAACGACCAATTAGGAAACCTTCGTCTAAAGATGCTGTTCTAATGTGGCGAGCTTTGCAGAGCACCAGAAGCCCGAGTTCTATTCGTCTGGCTCCTCTCCGGGCGGTGGTCGCGGAGCGTACTTCCATGTCTCTGGTTTCAAAATATATGTATTGGTGAAGCATCCGCTCGGCATTTGGCCAGACACTTCCCCGCTTCAAGTTCGGCACAGATTATGTGCCATCTCGACGCATCGACCACGGATTGGAAAGGTAGCAGTTGGGACAGGCCGGAGGCAAAATGTTAATGTTTCTTGTTGAGGCATGTGTAGGTTGCAATTTGTTGCCCAACTGGTGAAGTGGGATCCAGTGCGCCGTGATGCTCGTCGAGCCCGTGGCCATTCTGACAAACAGACAGAGAGACGGACGTCCATGTGTAATTATTCAGCACCCTCTCCCTTTTAATTTTTTTTTAATAATATTAGCGTACTACAAATCACCAATAGTTTTTTGACTATTTAAAACAAGATTCACCCCTACTGGGCGGCTTCTTGCAAAAAGAAACAAAGCAGGTTATCTCGTGTGAAACACACAGTGGATCTTGGGTGACTACGGTGCGGTCCACAGGCATTTGAGTGCTGTATCCGCAACCAAGAGTGTCCCCGTTTACTGGGGTTCCAGTCCTGAAGCTTTTATTAAATTCAGCTTCATCGTTCAACAGCCATGTGTGAGGGAACTTCATTCGCATCCTGCACCCTTCGCCCGACCCTGCCCGGAATAGACGCAAATCTCGACCTACAGTCGAAAATCTCGCGGATTCATAAGTATGGTTCGGTTAGGAATCAATCGCGGATCATGACCCCTCTCCGAGTTTGTGGAGCAGGGGCCTTCTGTGGCCGACAAGGGTCGGCGTTGCCGTGGTCCACCCGAACGGGGTGGTTGAACAGACAATATAGGGTTGGTGCGGTGCATTGCATCTTCTTTAGGGTTCTTTTTTCTTGTTGAGGGATTTGACGCAGACCGTCCAACAGCGCAGAGTTCCGACGTTCGACACGCGACACCGTAATCGCATGTTGTGCCCGCACCAACGCGTAAGCTCGTCCCTAGCGTTCCACCGCAAAATTGCAGAAAGCGAGCTGGTCTCGATCCAAACTTTGATGGCTGTCCACGCTAGGGTGGTCCAAAACAGAAAGGGGGAGACTGGGCAACCGTCAAATATGCACTTCATTTGGCGCCAAACCCGTGGCGGTGTTTACCGAGTTGTTGTATGCAAACTCGACAGGGGGAATATGGACGGCCCAATCGTCCTGACGCTCATTGGCCACAACAGCAAGCATTTGAGCCATGGTGTGGTTAACACGCTCGGCCCCACCGTTAGCTTGGGGGTGGTATGAACTGGTGGTGACTTTCTTGATCTTCATCAGCCTCGTAAATAGCCATGGACAACTTAGATCAAAATTGGTCCGCCGAAGGAGGTAGAACGCCGGCATTCGGGCGGGTCGCCACCCTGTGTTTTCCCAAGCATCGAACGAAAAAAGAAAAAACAAGAGCCGCTAGCAAGATAAAAGACAAAAAGAGAAGAACAAGAGTGCGGAAGATTTCTCAATGGCGACTTGCACCTGGCACTCTCGTAAAAGTAGAGCCTTCCTTCAGCACACAGCGCGAACCGTTCTGGTGTGCAGGAATTGTTTCACGCCCCGTTGTCTATTTTTTTTTTTTTTTACCAAATGTTGTTTGGGCAGACGAGGTTAGGGCGGGGGTGTTGTTGTCAGCTCAGGCGTTCCTTGCACGTCGTGATAGATGGCGCACCCGTAGCCAGTTCGACTGGTTGACTTCCCAGTACTCGATCGATTGGCCCCCGATGTAGGTCAGGCGGCATTCGTTCATCCGCTGAAAGCCTCAAGGCTTGCCAGTTGGCAGCCACGACAAAGCCACATTCCCTTCTGCTTCTTCGAAACGGGGTGACGTTTTTCTTCCCCCACACGCTTGCCCTGTGGGTGCTATCCACAGTGCTCACGGCGCACGGCCGAACGATATGGTCTCCAACGGGACGGACTCGAACTCCAGAATGCCTTGCTATTTAGTGCTTGCTGGTCAGGCTCGTTTTCGACCGTATGTGGACGCTCCACGCCACGGCTGTTGTTGTTGTCGGTGGTGTATTATTTCTTGGCGCACCCACACCCACCTCTTTGCCATTTGTGCCACTGCGTTGCTTCGCCTATTGCAGATGAAACGAATGACCGGAGCCAGGCGCCGAGTCCGGCCGCCGCCGCCGCCGGGGCCACATCCACGGCTCAGCGCGGGCAAATGGCAAGAGGCCGGCAGAATACCGCCGCCGGGCGGGGGCACGGTGCTGCCGCCCGCCCGCAATGGTCGCCGTCCCTCGACCCCCACCCGGCTGCCGGGGCCCCTTCCGACGGGTTGCGGTTAGTAGCGGCACGGGGGCGTGGCAGGCTATCCTCTCCTCGAAGAAGAGCCGCCCGCCCGCAATGGTCGCCGACCCTCGACCCCGACCCGACTGCCGGGGCCCCAGCGTCCCCTGCTCTATGCGGATCCCCTCCGCATAGCCCAGCAACACATGCCCAGAGCCGCCGCCGCCGCCGTCGCTCGGCCTCGGCCGGCAGCTGCGGGAGCGGCCCGCGCGTCGGGGACACTGTGAGGTCTCCTGGCTCCCCCGGCGGGGGTTTCTGGTCCCCGAGCCCGCTTTCGCCCCCTGCGGGGGGGTGCCGTTCCGCGTCGGTCGACAGCCCGCGCCTGTGCGTCCTCCGCGAAGATCGAGGGGCGTATCTAGACGCTGACGATCGTGCGCATGACGGCGGCGAGGACGTCGTCGACCAGCAGGTGACAATGGGGTCTGCGGGCGCCACCGGGGGTGCAAGCGGTCCTGGTCGACGTCGACGGGACGTCGTCATCCCCCCCTCCCGCCGTGCGTCGCCGTCGCCGTCGCCGTCGCCGCCGCCGTCCCAGCCGAAGCCGAAGCCGCAGCCGCAGCCGAAGCCGAAGCCGAAGCCGAAGCCGCAGCCGCAGCCTCGGCTGGGAAGAGGCCCGAGCAAGGGGGGAGGCCTACCCTCTTTTATGAACCCTGACGGCCACCGCCGCGGGGCGTGGCGCCTCTCGGCTTGGGGGTCCAAGATGTCAACCACTTAGGGTTACCACTAGCGGGCGTGCTGGACGGAGCAGTAAGTCTCTCGGAGGCTACAGCCACTTGGCCGGCCCTCTGGCACCCGCTGCCCGCTCCTGGTGCGACGACCTCGACCCCGCGAAACAGCTGGGTCAATGGAGCGGCGAGGCGTCGCCGTCCTCGGGGAAACGTGTGCGAAAGGACTCGGCAGGGAAGGGCTCGGAGTGCTCTTCGACCGACATCTGCCCCAGCCCTTCGGCGGATAGGGATAGGGAGTCACTGGACAACAGCTACAGGTCTACCAGTCCCCAGCATGGCTGTCTCAATGTCCGGTATATGTGCCATCCCCCGAGGCTTCGGGCCCAGACCGGGGCCACTCGTCGAACCGGCAACCCGACGGGGCAGCGGGAGCAACCTCGCATCACTGGGTGAGTCGACGCGGGCAGCGGCAGCAGCGGCGACAGCCGCAGCAGCAGCGGCAGCAGCAACAGCAGCAGCAGCAGCAGCAGCGGCGGCGGCACCCGTGGGGGGAGGAGCAGGAGGAGGAGGTGAGGCTGCAACAGCAGGCGCCCTGGACGCTGCCTTCGCGACCGCACGGAAGTGGATCATTGACCACAAGTAGCACAACAATCCTAGGTGGTGCATGGGAGACCGCGCGCGCGAAGAGACGAGTTGCTCGGGTGTGTGGCACTGCTGCTTGCTGTACTTGGGAAGGGGGGGGGGGTGTAGGTAGGGGGTTAGTGGGCATGCGCTGTTTGTGTTGCAGAGAATGAGCGTGTTTGTGTCACGTTAGGTGGTTTGTTGTTAGAGTTTGGTGTGTGTGGGGACGGTTGTCATCAGTAGCTCTCTCTTGTTCGGGCGGGCGGGCGGGCGGGCGGGCGGGCGGGCGGGCCCCGATCGATGTTGTGAAGACTCCAGTCCGCTGTCTTGCCCCCGTTCAAGGCTCCGAGGGAAATGGATCCTGGAATGGGTTGTGGAAAGGTTGTTACTCTCTCTTTGTATTGTTATTGTTGTCTTGTGTGGTGGGCGTTTTTTTTTTGGGTTAAGGACTCGCTCCGCAAATTTGTGTGTCTGATCTTCTCGTGGTATTTGACTGGTTGGTTTTTGTTGTTGTTCCCTTCCTTGTAGAAAGGTCGGATCACATAGTCTAGACCTTTCCTGTGCTGTGTTTTTGTGTTGTCTTGCCTACGTTTTTTTTATTTATTTTTTACCTTGGTCTGGCCCCCTCTTCATGGCGTTACGAGACTGCTACTCTAGTTCGTGGTCGTTACGAAGACCTTGCGTCTGTCTGTCTGTCAGTCTGAGTTTACTTCGATGACACGGTAAACCCAATCCCCTCTTTTTTTGTTGTTGTATTATGCCTCTTGTCGGCTGGGGGGGGGGGGGGGGGGCTAAATCTTCCCCCGCGGGGGTTCCC